AAAAGGAGCCTTATTAAGACAAACAATACCCTACTGCCGTTAGTACAGATGAAGAAACTGAAACTCATTATCTAACACCCTCCTTTACTACTCTTCAATATTTCTCTCATCTTCAGCTCCTACTTTTGATGGTCTAGGTGGCTTGCCTGGGGGCACCTGGATGGCTCAGTTGGTTGAGTGTCTGCCTCTTGATTGGGGTTTAGGTCCTGATCTCACAGTCCTGAGATCAAGCCTTGTGTTGGGCTCCATGCTGAGCGTGGAGCCCGTTTAAGATTCTTTCTTTCAAATCATAAGAAACTCTTAAATACAGAGAACAGACTGAGGGTTGCTGGATGGGAGGTGGGTGAGGGGATGGATTAAATGGGTGATGGGCATTAAGGAGGGCACTGGGTTCATATGTAAGAGGGTTCAACTCCTGAAGCTGAGACTACACTGTATGTTAACTAACTTGAATTTCAATAAAATTTAAACAAAAAAGATTCTCTCTCTCTCTCTCTCCCTCTGCCCCTCTCTCCGCTGCCCCTCTCCCCAGCTCTTTCTCTTTCTCTCTCTCTCTCTAAAATTAAAAACTTTTAATTTAAAGAAAATAAAAAAATAAACATATTAGGTGGCTTGCCTGGTAGCTAACCTAGACCCACATTTCCAAATGCTCTGAGCCTCTGATTACCCTTCCCTAATCAGATCATAGTTGTTATATTTGCCCATTTGAATTAAAATCGGACCTAGGACTACATACCTAGAGATGCTCGAAGACATGTGTGCCAAGTATATTTCTCCCTGCCTCTCATATAATTAATACCAGTCCTACCTCCTCAGTCATTTCTTTGTCTGCTGGTCTGTTGGAACAATAATCCCAAATAAACAGGTGGTAGCCAGAGACTTTTCTTTAGTGAGACTTTAACTGTGTTCTTCGGTGGGAATATTACCTTTCTGGGAATGAGGATCTCTGTTCCACAGAGCCTAAACTTACAGAGGTGGGAAACATAAATTTTCCAAGAGGGTGATTGGGAATGATAGTGACCGGTCATTTCTAGGTTCTAAGACTAAGTTCTAAGAATAAGGTGTATTATATCTACTGGGGATACAATACCATATAATAGATGCTAATATACAATCACAGGCTTGTTTTTTGTTTTTGTTTTTGTTTTTGTTTTTGTATCTGTAAATTTGTTAGCTGGCATGTTGTAGGAGCAGTGGAGCCCATTATCATGTGTCCACTGCTACACTTCCTTTGTTGTAAAGTGACTCTCTTGTCCCAAGTCAATGTTATATAAGATCCCATAAAGAGAAATCCTATTCTTTTGGTTATGATACTGGTTGATACACTGTGGGAAGGAAAAGTAAACCTGTACTCCTACCTCAGGATGAATTTCTGTCCTTTTTAGGGTAGAAAGGGTTTATGTAATCAACTTGCTACCAACTGTCTGATTTCCTTAAGAGATGATGTCATATCGGATGCTCAGGATTTCTCTTTCTTATTGGGAGGTCAGATATTCAGCAGTGGTATTAGCTAGATCAGATCTGGTGTACTTTTTGAGCAATGCATAGCCTCCATGTTTGCAACTATGGCTATTCCATTGATGGGCCCATTGCAGAAGCACAGAAGTAGATAAGGACAGACGCTGATAAGTAAATAATCCTGTCCACTTGGTACTTCTTCTGCACTGGATGCTTTCCAGGGGGTTACGTTAATGTAGAATACAAAGATATTCACACTTTGTGCCCCTTCCCCCAGATTATATTACGTTCCTCTTTCCTAGACCTCCTTGTCCCCAATCTCCTCATCCTGTTTCTTCCAGGACTCTGACCAATCAGCCAAGCCATTTACTACTGCCCATGATTCTATGTACATTCTTAATTCAGGCCATTTTTCTTTCTACACAAACAAAGTATGAGGTTCTCTGCACAAAAGTTCTATCCCTTGGGAAGATCTTATCTCACCACTGTCTTTCAGAGTCACCCCTGCCTCATCAGTCCATTTTCAACTTGTAGAACATACTGAGCTAAACTGTGAACCAAGCCTGGGCTTTTTCCTCCTCCATCATCTGATCTCAGGGAGCCCCAGAAGGGGGCTGAGCATATGGGGTATGGATCATCTGTTCTTGTATATTACTCTTGCCTTCTGGGAATGACTAAAATCAATCTCAGATATTCCACCTTCACTTTATAATGGATTTCTATTGATCATATGACATAGTGAGTCTGACAGGATTCAGCTCGTGACAGATAATTCTGGCTGGATGGTCATTTAATGTTCCATCATCAGAAGCTCAGTATTTACTAGGCTCCATGAAACATGCCAAAAATTGCTTTTCAATTCTTCATATACTTATCTGCTGCAGATAACAACCTTTCCCCAGAACCTTAGGTGTCTATTCTATAATTCTCCTACTGAACCTTGCTAGAAACTCCACACAGATAGCTATGGTACCATGGAATCTGCTGAGCCATATGGCCCAGTTGGTAGGGCTGCTTGTACTGTAGCCTAGACCTGCCACAAAATCCTTTCTTTCTCTGAATCCCACTCAAAACTGATAGCCTTCATATAACTTGATGAATGAGTTGAAGCTTCCCAAACCCAAAGAAGCCAAGTTAGGATTGTGCTTCTTTCTTAGCTGTAGGAGGGACAAGGTAAGATGACTTGCCTTTACCACTAAGAAGATGACTGACATGCCCCCATGTCATTAACGCCTCAAAATTTTCCCAATAACAGCCTTCTGATATATTTCAGAGTTTCACTCTCACCCTCTGGAGAATATTTGCCACTTCCTGCTCATTATGTTTAAATAAAGTGATGTCAACAATATAACAGGCCGATATTATGTTCATGGGATATCCGAATGATCCAGGCTCCCTTCAACAATGTTGTAACAGATATCAGAGCAGTTAACTAGCACTGGAGCAAAACCATGAATACATACCCACATGTATCCCACTTATACCACATGTGAATCTGAACAGTTTTATTCCTTCTGTCGATAGCTGGAGAAGGATGCATTTTCTAGATCAATAGCCACATGCCACATACCAGAAGCTATATTGATCTCTGTTATTGATGACAACATTTGGCACAGATGGCTGTTTGGCTAAATTTGTATTGTACACTGTTATCCACTATAATCTATTCAGTTCTTGCAGGGGCCAGTCTGACGGATTATACGAAGATATGATTCCTATAGCCTTTGTCTTTGAAAACGCCACTATCTCTGCCATTCCATCCAAGGTGTGACATTGGCTTTGGTTTGTTATTTTGGCTTGAAAAGGGAAGCTTCAAGGGATTTTACTTGACCTTTCCTACTCCAGGAGCTCTTTTTCCACAGGTCAAGAAACTAATGTGAAGATTCTACCACTTACCAAATATGTCATTCTTATTTTACATTTGAGAATTGGGGAAATGACCACTGGATGGGTCTGTGGACCTGGTGAACCAACTGTGTAATATACACAGGACAGTTCTCTACTTATCACCTGACTTCCATTCACTGCTGCTGTAATGTGGGGAGGGGCTCATGATGGCACTTAGGTGTCCAAGTTGAGTGTCAGCTCAGACTTTGTATCCAGCAGCATCTCAGTGTATAATTTACCAGCAAATATCTGTGGGTCAATTTGGGATAGGACTAAAGAATTACAACTTGGGGGGCACCTGGGTGGCACAGTCGGTTAAGCGTCCGACTTCAGCCAGGTCACGATCTCACGGTCCGTGAGTTCGAGCCCCGCGTCGGGCTCTGGGCTGATGGCTCAGAGCCTGGAGCCTGTTTCCGATTCTGTGTCTCCCTCTCTCTCTGCCCTTCCCCCATTCATGCTCTGTCTCTCTCTGTCCCAAAAATAAATAAAAAAAAGTTGAAAAAAAAATTTAAAAAAAGAATTACAACTTGGCTGTGGTACTGCAGAGGTCTTTATTCATGGGGACTCAGCAGCCTCTCTTTTTATTGAAGAGTTCTTCTGAGAATGGGCTCAAGTCTAAATGAAAATTGGACAAGGGATCATGTCTGTCTATTGGACAGTGTGTGTGTGTGTGTGTGTGTGTGTGTGTGTGTATGTGTCGTATGTATGTATATGTGTATGTATCTGTGTGTATGTGTGTGTGTATATATATATCTGGCCTCTAAGAATGCTTTGTTTTTATGAGCTATCTTTGTAGATATTTTAAGTAAATTTTAAAGATTGCATTGGCTTTATTAAATGAGTCATGACTCGGGTAGCATCCCATGTAGCAAGTAGAGGGGAGCTCCAAAGGGCTACATAAAAGGTAAAGTCTTCAAAAGTAAAAAGAAAGTGGGGGAAAAAAGGATATTATTAGCAAAAAAATCCATTATTTTAGCACGGTTGCCTTTCTTAGGGGAAGAAAAGGGGTCTAGCAGTGAATTTCCTAGTGCTGACCAGAAATTCCCATGTTGACTGGTTAAAGGTCAGATTTCTAGGGCATTGAAACCGCAGTTAGTTTAGGTATTAAGTCTTGGTTTACTGACTGGGGGCCTTAACCTAAGCGATGCCATTTTGGGTCTGTGGCTCTCTTATTGACACTAAATTCCCCAGGGCTTTAGTCATTCTGCAGGTTAGAAACCTGTGTTTTCCCCTACAAACCTCCTTCCTATTGGTCTCCTCAGACACGAACTGCTTGCCATGCTGTCTGGATGCCGGGACCCAGCCAGCCCGCCTCCGCTCCCAGCAGGCTGGTCTCACCCACCCCTCACTTCTACTCTGCACTGGCAGGAGGTGAGCCTGCCTCTGGAGGGAGTGCAATGGAGTGTACTGGCTCACCTCTCCGTGCTTTGGAACTAATAGCATCATGAAGCCAGAGCCAGCCTGAGATTGTAAGAATCTTTAAAGAAAACACTGTCATTTCATTTCTTCAACCTTGGTGCTTTGGAATACATTTTTATTGCATCTCATTTTGCACCGGAGTATCATTTTCAAGCAGGATTTGTTCCTGTCACGTGAAATGATCAATTTGTCCATTTAGAACTGCAAATCTAGTTATTCATGCTCTGGGTAAGCAAATTAAATTTTTTCTTTGGGATTATTGACAATATCTCATATTCTGAATTCTACTGAGATGTCGAAGAGGAGTTTTTAAGAATCACAATAATTTGCAAAGTGGGTTTTTTTGTGACTCTGATGAGGTAACCAGGGAAGGAAGCACATGCGCTGAGGCCCGAAAGAGGCCTTCACATCCCCCTGCCCAGCTCCTGTGGAGTAGACAGTTGCTGTGCTGGGACAAAGATGGGGCTCCAGGAGCAAACTTGTGGAAGAGGGAAAGGCAGGGTCGTGAGGACCTATTGTCCAGGTTGAAGCAGGGTCCCAATAAGTGGCTATGAAGATAGTGAGGAGGCACATGTATGGAAGTCCTTGAATGGTGGGCTTCAGTGTATCTTTGCTTCAGCCTTGTTGCTCCAGAGTTAAATCTTCATTAAGTAAATTCGTATTTGGTAATAATGCCATAGGTGATATTATGGATTAGTGCTATTCACACTAATCCTTTCCAGGTCAGAGTCATAGTGGTCTGGCAGACCCAGAATGGAAACTCCTCTGGTCTTATTTATGACGGGTGCCATGATATCATTTCTTAAACTTCGCTCATGATGCGAATAACTTTGAAATATTTCTGATTATAAAATAAGATATAATTAGTATACATTTTTTTAAGCACAAGGACATATTAAGGTAAAAATGAAAGCCATTCGAAGTATTACCACCCAGATGAAATGACCACTAATATTTTATATTTTGGAAATCTTTCCTCCTACTATCTTAGGCTTACACACACACACACACACACACACACACATTCAGTCACATTCTCTTTACGTCATGGCATACATTCTGTCATACGTTCAATATTGTTTTTAACCAGATTTAATGCAACTTTGAATACATTAAAATTTATTGGGCTTACCCCTCTATTCATGAAAGTTTCAGCGGTATAAAAACTGGGGCTCATAAACCATGTTACAGTGAATGTAGAGCGTACATCTATATTGATCCAATTTATATTCTTCCTCAGGTGTTCCCGGCCCCACCTGCCCACCAGGCCTGCCGCCGCTTTCGCACTGAAGCTCAATGCAGAGCAGCACTGCCTTGGCACTGGCCCCATCTCCCAGCTCTGGGGGCTGTCTCATGCTCCCCCAAAGATAAGGGTCATACAGGAGAGCTTCCGGAAGGGCAGCTGCAGCTCCAACCAGATTCAAAGGGACCCATGGTTCTGACTCCTCCCACCACTTCCCAGCTCAGAGGGAGGAGAGCCCTGGTCCATGTTTTGTGGGCGGAGGGACTGACTTCCCAGGGCTGCCTGGATGGACCAGGTAGCACAACCTGGAAGTGCTGGGGTCCCTAATAGCCAGAGGGACAGGTGAGTAGGGGACAGGGTACACTGACTGGGGAAAGACAGAAGATTTGGAAAGATGACAAGTGGATGTCCCCCTTCCTTCCTTTACCCCAGGACGCTTCCCAGGTGCAGTGGGTCTACACAGCCAGACCAGAGAAATGTGGCCTAGCTAGGGACTGGCTTTATTTTCTTGTAACATTGTGGCCACCTCACTAAGTGCCACTTTCTTCTTTCTCCCTTCTTTCTTGCCTGGCTTCCCTTTTCCATCCCTTTTATGGCTCTGGGATTGAACCTGTCCACAAAGCTTTGCTTCAGACTCTTTTCTAGGCAATCCAGGCTAAGCCATCTTCTTTGTGATGTTGTCCCTTTATCGCCTTAGAGAAAAATGCCTGGGAGTAAACTGCTGGGTTGAAGGGCAGACATAATTTTAACTTGAATAGGAGTTGGCTAACTACCCTCCACAGAGACTTGAATTAGTTTACCTCCCTCCCATCAATTGAATGCTAATTTCTCTTTGAGGCAGAAAATGATGGACTGTGAAATGAATTCTTTTTCTCACCTTTAATCTTTTTTGTCTTTTGCTAAAATGAACATTAAATAATTCATGCTGTTTCTGAAAGAAAAATTCAAGCTCCAAGCAATTCAGCCTGGGGAAAAGTGTTTAATGGTACATTTTAAACATTTTTTGCTGTTGTTTACCATTTGTTCTCATGTACTACTTCCATGAAAGAAACTAATAGAAAACTCATCTAATTTAAATAGTCCTTTTTAATATGAGGTACTGATTTGCCAAAGTTTAAACTTTAAAAGAGCAGAATAAACATGGCAATTTATCATGTAACAGATTTTTATTCAACAACACTTACTAAGCCACGGCAGTGCATTGGGCCCTTACTATACACAGTGGAAAGTAAGCCAGATACGTTGGCCTCTGCCTTTTTTTGAGTGTATGGTCCACAGACATGACAATGGGCAGCTTGCATGGTTTGAATTGTCATGGAAGGGCTGCTTGAGGCTTCCCAGAGGAAGTGACCTCTAAACTGAAACCTAAAGAATCAATAGGGGTTGGGGAGGCAAAAGCATGGAGGTCAGGAACTGAAGGAACTCTGCGTGTGTGTGTGTGTGTGTGTGTGTGTGTGTGTGTATACACAAATACATGTGCATGTGTGTGCATGCATATGTAAGTATATGTGCATATGTATGTACTTATGGGGAGGTCATGGTGGGCTCCTGGGGAGAGATAAAACTGGATTTTGCAGGGTCTTGAGAGCGACATGCAAGACACAAAGATTCTTTTGCACTGAATCCCAGGGCCAATGGCGGCCACTGACAATCTGTGAGCAGGGAGAACATTGGAATCCCAGGTCTCTAAGATCATTGCTCTGTGGGTTGGAGAAGTAACAGGGGAGGGAAATGTGAGAGGTAAGGAGTTCTGGGAAGAGGCTCTATCATCAGGGGTGAGTTGCTCCAGAAGTGAGATGAGGCAGAAATGCAGACAAATGGAGGGCAATGGATTCCAGAACTGTTTATGTCAGCATTCTTAAGACCAGGTGAATTACTGGATTTCTGAGGGGTAAAGGGAGCTGAGATCGTTCCCACCCTTCTTAAAAGAATATTAAAAATTTCCATCAAAGCATGCCATGTTCTTTGCCCATATTCACAAGGAGCTATGAGAAGATTTATATAACTGCTTGTTATATAAATTAATGATGATTACATTCATTGAACAACTATTTTGAGCCAAGCGTGGAATAGTTTATTTAATCCTCACAGCCCTCCATGAGGTGAGTGCTATTATTATTCCCTCTTTCAGATGAAGAAACTGAAGCACAGGTAGGTTAAATGATTTGCCTAAGGACACAAAGGTCAAAGTGGGAGACTGTGCATGACCCAGTGTGTACTTTGTCTGTCTGTCTGTCTCTCTCTCCCTGTCCATATTATTATGATGACTTCCATTGGCAAAAATGAAAGAGAACCCAGTGAAGTTAGGAAATTCTTTTAAACCTAAAGTAATTTGGGGATGATTGGGTGGCTCAGTTGGTTGAGCATCCGACTCTTGATTTTGGCTCAGGTCATGATCCCAGGGTTGTGGGATCCAGCCCTGTATCAAGTTCCATGCTGAGAGTGGAGCCTGCTTAATCTTCTCTCTCTCTGTCTCTGCCCCTCTCCCATGCTTGTGCTCTCTCTAAAAAACAAAAAACACAAACAAAATCCTAAAACAGTTTTACCTGGTGGAAAACGGGCAGTTCATTCAAAAGATTGTTTTTTTCAATCTGTAAATTACTTTAATATAGTATGCACCTTCAAAATCTTTCTCTAAAATTGTAAATAAAATGTTGCATTTTTATATGGTTCTTAATAGGATGGAGTCAGCTCACCTTAAGGATGTACTATAGTCCAAAGGGACTAGTTGTTTCATAAAAACATATGGTAAGTGCCTGCTTGGGGTTCTGACACATTCACTAGAAGAACTATATGATTAGAATGTGGTTTCCAACTCTTGTATAGTGAAAAGTAGCTTAACACACTTACTAGAAAATCACTTTTGAAAAGTTGTTTCACATAACCTTGGCTTACTCGCAAACTAGGAAACATTTCAGCTTTTGGGGGTTCTCTTTTGGAGAAAACAAGTAGTCGGTCTGTTTTTACATATGTCCGTAATCAGAGGCTAATCTGCATTTTTAAAGGAAATGTTACAACTTTTCTTATATAAAGGAGCAACTAGGAGGGGAAAAATGCTAAGCAGGGTGGAGGTGGGCACTTCAGATTCTCCATAATTGCAGGCATATGAGAAAGTCATTTCTAGGACAGAACTGGGGTAGAGAGTGGGCACATTCTTACTGTTCACATTATCCCTTAACACCTCTTTGAGTTTGGTAACGTGCACAGTACTGCACCCATAGTGATGACCCTACTGTGCACTGGTTACTGACTTATTCAGCCAGTATCAATGGAAACTTCCCCTGCATCAAGGCAGCACTAAGTGCTGGGGGCAGAGTGATCAACAGAATGTTCCAAGTCTACCACAAAGTGCTCACAGCCAAATTTATATCCATTCTTGTAACCCCACAGAAATCTTACAAAGTGGATGCTAAGATTCGGACAGGCTAAGCAACTTGCTGATAACCTCAGAGCTGGGTTTGGCTCCCCTAATGCTACCCTTTCTGCATCCTGGGTCCCCAGGGTTCAGTGATACATGCCCAGGACTTCACTGTGTGGTTCCCAAATGTCTACATTTGTATGAAGAGACTTAGTCAGAAAGGAATTGAGCCTCTTTCTAGGGCCTTGATAAGACTCTTGAGGCATCTACACAGAGTTGTCCGATCCGCTCTCCCACCTCTCTGTGAGCCTGAATGTTTGTAAAGGTAGATACTTATTCAAATTATGATAGCTGTTGCCTACACAGTATTTTCTATTTGTGATACGGTAGCTAAGTATCAGCATTTGACATTTTGAGGAGTGAGGGGGGCCCCTGCTATGTTTCCCTTCCTCTGCCATCTAGTGACCCAGCACAGCTCCAGTCAGCCTAGTGGTCTGTGCTTATAATTCTTCTTCCAGATCTTGAAGTCCCTCTTCTTTGTGTCTGTATCTACTTTTGAGAGAGAGAGAGAGAGAGAGAGAGAGAGAGAGAGTGAGGAGGGGAGGGGCGGGGGGAGAGAGAGAATTGCAAGCAGCCTCCATGCCCAACATAGGGCTCGATCTCACTACCCTGGGATGGCGACCTGAGCCGAGATCAAGAGTCAGAGGCTCAACTGCCTGAGCCACTCAGGTGCCCCTGTGTCTGTATCTTTTTATCATAATTCATGTAATTGGATCTTATGACAAGGAAGCAGATAACATCCTTCATTCTCTTACTCTAATTCCCATGTTGAGTATAAGATTTATTTTATCTTTCTTTTATTCATTCATTCCACATTTATTCAGTGCCCACCACGTGTCTAGCAATTTATCAGACACAAGATACAGACAAAAAAATGCAGTTCTTTCCAGCATCTCAGAGTTTAGGCAGGCAGGCAACTAAACAGGATTCTAAAAAATTACTTTTGAAAACATGTGATAAGGGACATGAACCAGGTAGGTAGAGAGTGCTATGGAAACAAGGAGGAGGGAAAAACAACCCAGCCCTGGGGATTGGTGGGGGAGGAGAGGAAATGATGTCTCAGCTGATTCTTAAAACCCAACTAAATGATGGGCAGCCCCATTAAGGAAGATTGTTTATTCTCGGCAGAGAATGCCCAGGGCAACAGCCCAGGAGCCTGAGAGAGCAATGCATGTCCAAGTATCTGCAAGTAATGATAAATAGCCACATTTTAGTGCCATTATTTTTGTGCAAGGTACCATGCCAAGTGTTTCACATGCATTATTTAACTGAATATCTGAACCGTGCTCCTTAGATAGCATTCTTATTTCTATTTACGAGTTGAGAAAAAGAGAGGCTCAGTCAAATGCCTTAGTATTATCCAAAGGTAATAAGAAGGTAGGCTGGGATTTGAGCCCACGTTTTTCAGATATAAGAATTTGTCTGCTTAACCACTCCATCCCACTCCAGTAAATCTGTGTGGTTAGAATGTTGAGGCTGGGGAGGAGGCAGGGGGAGAATGGCAAGAGGTGACAGAAGCAAAGGTGATTTTATCTTGAAGGCTCCAGTGAGCCTCGGAAGGATTTTAAGCAGGTGTGAGCTACTCTGAGATGTGCATTTTAGAAGTCTCTCTCTGTAGAGGGTGGAAAGCATGGATTAGTGGGAGGACAGGTTGGAGACAAGGGGACCAGGCAGGTGGCTGGGACACTGCTCCAGATGAGAGATGACAGTTATCTGGTCTCATGTGGTGGCAATCAGGATGGAAGGAGAGGGTAGATTCCAAGATAACTTTTGTAACTGATTGGATGGGGTGAGGCTGAGACAGAGGAAGGGCGAGAGGCAGTGCTGGAAGGAGTTTGACACCATTCCCAGGTTTCTTTTTTGGATGAAGGATGACATTCTTCAACAAGATATGGAAGATAGGATAATTATGAGAAAATGATGAATTCATTTTGAGACATGTCGAATTCAAAATGCCTAAGTGATAGTCATACGGAGATGTGAACCAGACAGGCTGAAATAAGAATCTACAGGCGAGGGGGAGAGGTCTGCTGGTTACAAAGTCGTCAGCCTAAAGACCAATGAAAACCATGGGACTGGATATTGTCAGTAAGCAGGGGAGAGAAAGGAGATGAGAAAGGGAGAAAGAAAGGGAGAAAGAAAGGGAGAAAGAAAGAAAGAAAGAAAGAAAGAAAGAAAGAAAGAAAGAAAGAAAGGAAAAGGTGAAACAGGGACACTGTTTAGAAAACACTAACATTTGGAAGAATTAGAAGATCCCAAGAAGAAGACTAAAGCGGGGAGGGACAGGATCAGGGAGCCAGGATAAGAGTTTCAAGGAGGGAGCAAACAGTGGTGTCCAAGGCTATGGATAACAATCTTTTAGTAACAGGGACCACCACTGCTTACCAGAACCCCGTTAAAAAGAAAACCACAGGCCCCAAATGGTGTCATGACAGTAAACCAAGGCCCCCCAGTCAGTAAGCCAAGATTTAACACCTAACCTAAATGCAGTTTCAATCCCCCAGAGAATGTAACCTTTAACAGCCAACTTAGAATTTCCTGGTCAGCACTAGGGAACGTACTGATAGACCCCTTCTCTTCTCCTTAGGAGGGCAGACTTTCCTAAATAATGCATTCCTTGCTAATAACTTCCTCTCTTTTTCTTCTTCCTCCTCCTCCTCCTTCCCTTCTTCTTCCTCTTCCTCTCCTTCTTCTTCCTCTCCCTCCCTTCTTCCTTCCTTCTTTTCTTTCTTTCTTTCTCTCCTTCTCCCTCTCCCTCCCTTTCCTTATCCTTCTTCTTCCAATGCCCTCTCTCTGCCTTCTGCCTTTAAAACTCTTTCTTTTGTTTAGCTCAGTGAAGCTCCCTTCTATTTGCTAGTTGGGATACTGCCCAGTTGAAGAATTAGTTGATCTTCAAATTTACTCAGTTGAATTTTGTTTTTTATGTTTATAATGCCCTTATGTGCCGGACATCCTACCATACATTTTATGTGAAGTCTCTCTGGTCCTTCCAACATGCTTGCAAGGTAGTGGTGCTGGTGGGGATAACAATGATTATCTTTGCTGAGCACTTTCTCTGTGCCTAGTGTTTACTCAATCCCTTGCACGCAATACCTCAACCTTGTTTGTACAGAAGAGTAAGTCCATTAAACCAATAGATGGCAACTTTATTTTACTCACACAGTAGTATAACAGAAAAAAAAAATCCCCAGGGTAAAATAGCTTGTAGGAAAATAGCCATTATTTGTTAATCATTTTTGGCCCATGGTACTTACTATTTCTGAGTCCTAATTTTGCCATCTACAGTTACATAAATGGCCATGCAGAATAGGTATTAACAGGGAGCTGTGCCCTCCGCTGTCCTCTCTCTGTGCTCACTGCCAACCTCTGGTGTTAACTCTTGTCTCACTGCTTTAAAATTATCCATTATAAAAATGTCTCTTTAAGTTGCATACGTTTCGCAAGGGCAAGGGCCAGCCTTTCTCAACATTTCCCCAGCTCTGCCTGTCAGTTGCCTCACATGAAGCAGACATTACACAAATGTCTGAATAGAATTATTTTTTTCTAGCCGATGTTTTCCCCAATGACTTCACAAATGGCTCTCTGTATCAGAAGAAATTTAGATTGAATTTGTCATAGTTCAAACATCAAAAACTAACTCTTACTAACTTTTCAGAGTTTTCTAATGCACTTTTACATAGTGTAGCCACCATGGGAAAAAGTATGGAGCTCGCTCAAAAATTAAAAATAGAACTACCAAAAGATCCAATTATCCCACTTCACGGTATATTTCCAAAGGAAATGAAAATAGGATCTTGAAGAGGTGTCTGCACTCCTATGTTCCTTATAGCATTATTCACAGTAGCTAAGATGTGAAAACAACCTAAGCATCTACTGATGGATGAATGGATAAAGAAGATGTGGTATAGAGATATAAATGGAATATTATTCACCATGAGAAAGAAGGAAATCCTGTCAGTTGAGACCACATGGCTGAGCCTTGAGGGCATTATGCTAAGTGAAATAAACCAGACAGAGACAGATGATACTGCATGGTATCACTTATATTGGAGCCTGAAAAAGAAAACATGTTGAACTCAAAGAAACAGAGAGTGGAAGAGTAGGTGCCAAAGGCTGCAAAGGAGAGGGGAGGTAGGGGGAGTTGGGTTAATGGGTACAAATTTTTAGCTACAGGATGAAGAAATGAAGAGCTAATGTAAAACAAAGGAATTATAGTTGATAACACTGTGTTATATCATTGAAGTTTTCTAAGAGAATAGAACTTAAATGTTTGCATACACACACTAGCTGAGCAATGTAAAACAGAAAAGAAAATTTTTGAAGGATGCCTGGTCTTATGGGAAGTGGATGGGAAAGCTAGAGATCAAGGCTACCAAAACCACAGTCAAATTCCCTTATCATATGGTTAAGTTGTCTTCAGGGGCTCTGCTGACATTGTGGTCACTCAACACTGTGTGGCTTTTGTCTATCACCATTAATAAAATTCCCATCATGTCCCTTGCAGACTTAAAGTCCCAAGCAAAGCATCCTGTCATCTGAGTCCACATCTGTCTCTGCTGACAGGTCTGTGATCTGTCCCTGTCCCCTGGGACCATCTTCCTTCCTCAGAAGAGATGCATCCTGCCTCTGATCAGGATCCTCACCATGGAGACATGACCTTCGATAAGGAAGAAGGTTTGGATCTTAGGCTGCCAAAGCAATGAAAACGTCCACTGAACAGACTGGAAGGATTCTGAACCATTGCTCCAAAGAGCAACCTTCCACAGAATTTTTAGACTATAAATAAGATAGATTCCTGGCTGTCTGAAATGCTTAGATAACAGTTCCTCTGTGAAACAGAGATGGATTGAAATACAATACGTTCCTGCACTGCGATCATCTCCTGAAATGCCAGAAATACTTTCGTGTCAATGTCTTATCATGAGAAGCCTGAGAGCTGGAATCTAGAATTACAATTCTTTTTCTTTCCCCCAGGATCTAGCTACAAAGATTTGGTAAGGAGATGCATTTCCTCCCCCAAGTCGGCTGTCTCCATTTGTAACTGATACTACATACAGCAGGGAAGCATCTGTGTTTCAGAAAAATGATGTGTGAAAACAGTTTTCAAAAATGCATGCTTTCTACATTAAAAAAAAAAACAACTAAAAATATGTTTGGTTACCACTTTGTAGAGCCTATTGAATTTGGCTGTGAATGGGAATCTAATTGCCATCCATTTCTACTGGAGCCTTCTATGAACATGACATTTCCATTAAAAAAAGAAGTCAGCTCTAGCATTATGATGTGGATGCTGAAATCATAAAAAAAATTAATGACTGGTTGGTAGGTTAATAATTTATATTTCTTCTTTGCAGCCCATTAGAGGAAATAAGCAAAGCCACAGGTACAGAAAATATCACTGGGGTTGGCAAAGGTAAAAGGAATATTCTTACTGAAGTGTTACAAATAGCTCCCTGGTTTTGAGTGATGATTACTGATTATTCTCCTATTTTTCATGTATAAATGGAGAATGTCTTCTTGTTTGTCACCTGCTCTTGTTACTGTGGGGTTGGCATCAAAGTATTAACACTTGCAGGGCTGAATTTAAGGGCTGAGGGACCCACAGCTTGGGTTACAGGGTCCAGACTTCAACTTGTTGCAGAAAAATCTGTTCACTCCTCCACGCATGGCAGGAATTACATCATATTTTCCTAAACTTTGTAGCTTGATGTTCTTGAGCAGCACCGCTCCTCCTTTCTTTCTGGTTTTTTCTTTTACAGTAATTTGAAGACCAGTGCCCATTTGATGAGTTGGACAGTCTGTTTTTTATGATTTTGTCTTTTCTTTTGGTGAGCAGTTGGCAAAGGGAAGGGGCTATTCCAGCAGTTCAGATAATGAGATTTGCTGTTAATAAGGTAAAAGCACACAACGACACCAGATTAATGTTTCTCAAGCACAGCTCCAATTAACATCCACCCTGATTAATCTAATGTCTCTAACTCCCTCCCTAATGAAGTCCAGAATTCTACCCCTGGACTTCAAGTGTCTTCACTTAATGACCTTTATCTATCTTCTGATGTTTTATTCTATTGTTTTCCTATGCGTATAGTATAGACCACCTCAGTGGTTCTCAATCCTAGCTGCAGATCAAAATTACAGGTGATGCTTTAAAAAAAAACACAACCCCCCCCCCAAAAAAAAACCCCACTGAGGCCCAAGGCCCGCACTATGCTAACTGAATATGATTCTGGGGGGTGAAGCACAGGCATCCATCTGGCGTGTATCAAATAGGTAGGTGCTGGAATTATCTGGAGGCTTCTCTATTTACTTTTTTTGCTGATTAGGCTGGGATGCGTCAGAGGCTGGGCTCAGCTGGTACTCTTGGCCAGGGTGTCTACATATGTTTCTCCATATAGCCTCCTCAAAGCGTGGTGGCTCAGGGTAGTCAGATCTCCCACAGGAAGCACAGGAGCAAAGAGTCCGCTGGAAAAGGTGGAATCTTGGGGCCTTTTACACACTTAGCCTCAGAAGGCACATAGCATTGCTTCTGCTGCATTTTATTCACTGAAGCAGGCAGGAACCTTCAGGGGAGGGGACCCGCCTCTCTATAGGAAGCGTGTCAATGAATCTGTAGCCACATTTTTAAGCTGCCATACACCCTTGTTAATTAAGTCCACTGTCGACCCAGAGTGGAGAACAACTGGACCCATATCTTTCAAATACTGACCTGCGGAGCAGGGCTGGGCCTTGAATGAGGCGAATGAGACACCTAGGGTGCAAAATTGAAGAAGGCAGCCACTCTCTGGATCCTGCAGGGGAGCATCTCCTTGCATTTTGTGCCCAAGGCACCTTCCTGGCCTCATCCAGTCCTGGCCCTGCTACAGAGCAATTGTGTATGAATCATGAGTGTGAATGGGTCTCAGATTCCTGAGTCTCATACTTTGATATTCTGGTTCAGTAAGCCTGGTCCCTGTTGGGATTCTGCATGTTTTTAAAGAATCCTAATGGATCCATTACAGAGTCCGTGTGCTTTCCTGGTACTGTGCCTTTGTTCACGCTATTCACTCTGCCTTGAATGTCCTTTCCTTCTATTTCTATCCACTATGGCCTATCTACCAATTGGACTATCTACCAATGGGATTTCAGATCCATTTCAAATACTGCCCCTTTTATCAAGCAAAGGTCCCAACAGCCAGAATATAAACTGTTCCTCCTAAGAAACCCATAGCACTTTTTTTATATGCCTTAAGACACATTTTGTCTAGGATGGTTTGTGGACACACACATCTAGCAAGAACTTACTTTCCTAGGAGGCTACAAAATGGAGATCTGGATCCACCCCATCAATTCTCATAGGTAAAGTCTTGTTAAAACATGGTACCATTCTCTGACTCATCTTGCTCCCAGATTGTTCTAATCCACACAACAGCTGGCATGCTCCTGGCACGTTTCTGATGCCCGGTAAACAGTGGATATCTCTCCTGATGAAAGGCTGGATTCCCATTTTTGCATCCTTCACGGAAGCCCCCAAATTTTGAGTAATTACCCTAGTTGAAATGCTTAAGCATAGATAGGGACTGCATCCTTTACTGTGGCTTCTATTTTGGAAAATTTCTTGCTTGAACTTTACCTGACCATCTTTTCCGCATAGTAAAGGGTTTTTTCGAGGCTCACTCTGTGCAGTCCTTACCACTCAGTACCTTTGTGGACGGCAATACCACATGCAAACCTCATAAGCCTTTGAGGTAAACCCCATTTTCGTGACCTTTGTAGTGATGAAGAAAACTGGGATTTATAGACTTAGCAACTTTCCAGATCACAGAATAACAAAGCGACTGAGGCAGGTTTCAAACCCAGACCTCGAAGATTCCAAAACGTGATGATTTCTCCCCTACACCAGATCAGCATCCCCCATTAATCGGTGGTGTCCATTAAGCCCACCCACCTTTGAGGAGGGTGGGGCGGACAGGTTCGCTTGGACGAAAAGCAAAGTTGGCAAAATCTCTTCGAGTCTCTTTTAACTCGTAAGGTTTCCGCCGCGGGGTAGGCTCGGGGCTCCCGCACCCGGCGCTTTGGGACACGCGCCCTCGCACCCCTCCCTGGCGCTCGGCCACCTCCTCCCTGGCGGCACGTGGGTGGGGCGGGGGCTCCAGGGGGCGGCGGCCAATGGCGGCGAGGGGGTCAGAGTCGGTTCTCCGCGAGGGGCGCAGCGGTTGCTAAGCGCAGCGATGAGACGGATCCGGCGCCGGCAGCCCAGGGAAGGGGGAGGCGCGAGCGAGAGCGCGTGGGAGCGCGGAGGCCAGAGCCGGGAGGGAGAGCGAGCGGAGAGAGACGCCGGGGAGGCGCGCGGGAGCGAACGCCCGCTCGGGAGCCGGAGCCCCGCGGCAGTGCGGCCGCGCCCCTGCCCGAGCCCGTGCGGCCGCCCAGCCCCGCTCCGCCCGCCGCCTTCTGGGCTCCCGAGGATGGAGGACTCCCGGGAGACGTCGCCGTCCTCCAACAACTCCTCGGAGGAGCTCAGCTCTGCCCTGCAGCTGTCCAAGGGCATGTCGATCTTCCTGGACGTAAGTACCGGGCGAAGGAGTTGGGTCGGCGGTCCCCGACCTCCACCCCCTCGTCGCGGCTTTCCTCTTCCCCTGGAGGAGGCTGGTCGGTCCAGGCGCTGATCAGCAGGTGTTTTGCACCGCCCCCCCCCCACCCCGAACACCAGCGAGAACTACCTCCTACCTCGCTCCCCTGTCCCCCTGGAAATGCACCGAGGAAAATGCGGGAGAATGACTACCACCCAACTTGTAAAAAGGCTTGTCCTGCACCTGCAGCTCGGGGCTTAACAACCCTGAATGAATGGCAGAAGTTAAATTTTCCAACGGCGTGGGTTTCATTGGGGACTAGATCGGTAGCTACAACAATCTCTATTCAGGTGAATAGAGCGTTTTAAAGGAGCTAAGGGAGGGAGGGAACATCATTAACTCAACTCATCTCTGATGTGACCTGTTTGCAGTTCCCCATCTCCCTGAAGCTCTTAGGCTACGGGGACAGCGTTAGGGATTGCGATGCCTCGCCACCCTTCCCCAGCCCCCACGGAGAACAATTACTTTGAAAACATACTTGTTTTTCGTTTTTAAAGCGGTGGCCAAGATCCCTTTCATGCTGTTACTTTTTTCACTGCCACCTCCTATTTTTCCGTTTTTTTTCCCCCTATTATTCTTCTTCCCTATATATACCTCTCCAAGTTTTCATTGCTATTCATCAATTCTAGCATTTGAATGTTCTTCCTTGGGGCCTCTCCCTCCCTTCGGTATTGATGCCCTTCCTTCATTTCTCTGATACTGTAATCATTCTTTCTCTTTCTTTGTTTTCTTTTTTCTACCCTCACGCCAGGGTTTTTATCTGTACAGCAGTTTTGTTTCTTATTTATTTTCTCAATTTTGCGTTTCTGCCCCTTTCTGCTGTTTCTGTTCTTTATTTTCTTTCACCCAGCTCTTTGCTGTTAGGATTAGTGGTTTTCCTCTCCCTCAGTTGCCTGCCGGCTTGGGTTCCCTCAGCCTCTGCGTTGTTACATATATGCTGTCCCCTAGAGGTAGTCGGTGGGGACAATTCTGGCCACTTATTTAGACATGGTAGAAAATTGGCAAAAGGCATTGAGTGCTGCGAGCTCTTTACTGTTCCCTGAGATCATTTCTTACTAAAATCCAGGTGTATTTAAAATGAAAATACATTTATTTGTGGAGAGATGAAACCATCAGGAAATCAACTCATTAGTACCATAATGGTGAAGCGGTTGTCATGAAGATAAGGGGGGCAGAGTGAGGAGCCCTCCCAAGTGTCTTTTGAATGGATTAGCTGGGATTTTTTAATTGGGAGAGAAAACCATATTGATCATGAAATCCGGTCAAAGGCAAATGTCCTAGGTGAGACTCAGCTGCATCTCCTGGCAGCCTCCTCCCCTCCTCACCGTGCAGTTCCAGGTGGGGATCCAGGCCTCTGTGGCCAGCCATCTTCCCACCAAAACCATCTGATTCCCATTTTTTCTCTCCGGTTCAAGTCCCTTATTCTTCTGAGCCCTTATCTCTGCTTGGCTCTGGCCAGTCAGGTGATGTTTTGGCGCTAGTGGTCCAACTGGCTGCTATTATTCATTAAATTATTCATTAAATCCTGCCATTCAGGGCCAAAAAGCCCGTGAGGAAGCCAGGCTGAGAGAAGGAGGCACACTGCACACGGGAGAAGGGGATCTTCAGGGACAGCATCAGGGCCCCAGGAAGTCACGTCTGTTAGGAGGTTGATGGCTAAGCTGCCATCAAAGAGACTCGAAGAGGGCAAAGGGACCCTCCATTCATACTGGCCTGATCTTCACTGGGTCCCCCAACGGTATCAAGTGCTTCTCTATGACTTTTTTTTGAAGCAGTTAACAAATCCTGGCAATGCTGTGGAGATGAATGGATTGAGCTGTACAAATGGAAGTCGTCCTCTTTGACACACACACTAATCTTGGCCCAAGTGTCCAAACTGCTACTTAAAAAGAAAAGAAAAGAAAAAGAAAAAAGAGGAAATTAAAATCTTGTTTATTGTTGTATATATATGATTGTTCTCAAGCTCTGTAAATAAACAGCATCAGGTCCCTGTTCTGAAGGAACATGTGCTCTGTGAATAGGATACCCTTGCCTTCTTGTATCTATTTCTAGAATTTAAAAATAAGAGTACAAAACTGATTTCACACAAGAGGTGTTGACATGTTTGTTTGTCAGGAAAACGCCAGTGTCTATATAAAAAAAAAAAAAAAGCCACTGGATTTTATCTCGAGTAGAAGAGATTTTGTTCACACTTTTTCTTTGAGATGTTTTGTGAAAAATCCAGCACTCTGGTGAAATCTGTGACATGAGAAAGGATTTGTTACTTAAGGATTTTTGAATTATTCATTTCTGGATCATATTGCTTTTTAGCAAAAATAAAATGTGAAATATAAATACATAATTTACTCGATTTGTTTTCATGTATTCCAGTAGCACTGCTAAGAAAGATTGCTTTTTGAATTCTATGCGGATCATAAGTCGGTAATAGAGATTCCCTGACTCCAAAGAGGAACAGGAATGAAACCCGTCAGAGTCACCTGCGTCACCCGGACTGATTTCTGAATTTGAGGAAAACTTTGATTTTTAGTGTTTGTCTTCCAAGGCCACTGTACTAACCAGTCCTCTGAGTGATTTTGAGGCTACCGTTGCTGACATGACTAGATATATCCAGCTGGTAAGAAACTAGCCGCAGATCAGAAAACCAGAGAGGGATTTGCCATACCGATTTGGCTTTTGCTTCATTTCCCTCATGTCCAAATCAGCAATCATGATGAGTATGCCGCTTAATTCTAGAAGTTGTTGCCTTCAGGGCAAGTGCATAGGATAAGAAAACTGAAAACAGATAAAGGAAGTGTGCTATATAAATTTGCACCATTATTGCTAGATCATTGTTCCCTATTGAATGCCTGGATCACAGTTGCCAAATCCACAGATGAATACAGAGACTGTTTCATTAGAAATCTAATTGATTTTATTCGATTCTGTCTAAAAAATGGCAGAATATATACGTTACGTATACATTATATATATTCATCATAAATACTCTTGAGTGCCCACTGAGGGGCTTAGGAAACCCAGGGCTGGTGCCAAGGCATCTGTGCTGTGCCCCCCTGCTACCCACAGGAGAGTGGCTTCACTGGGTTCTGTGCATAGCAACGTGGGAGGACCAGGAGGAGGACAGTTCTTTTCCTTCTTAACACCTGCAATGCTGTCCGTCCCCAGGTTATTTCATTCCAGCTGACAGGGAATAAACTCTGATGTAGAATACTAGTCCATAAAGCATGTGGTCCCTCTTTGGAATCATTCTATTAATCGACTCCGCTACTGTGCAAAGGGAGAAAATCAAGCCTTTCACATCATCCCCCGAAGCAAGATAAATCCGAAGTGAAGTTAGTTATAATTCCACCGCTTGATGCCACTGCCTTCTCCCCAACAGTTTTGTTTGCTTTTTAGCTGGAAAGGAAGTGGCCCTTCCTCATGTTGCTAGGGGCAGAAGTGGGGCCTGGAAGGCTGTGAGGGAGAGAGATGATCTTCCTGTTTGTCTTCCCTTCCTTCCCCCGGCCAGGCATGCGCACTCACGCCCACTGAACAAAATGCACAGTGCCTGGCTGGTCAGGGACTTGGTGAAAATAAGGAAGAGTCTTCTTTTGCAAAGCTACTTAATCCTGAAGCCCTGTCTCTACACATGGATGGGAATATCTGTCTAAGAGGTGAGATGGACGGAGGACTGTCAGAGCAGAAACAGTTTTTCAGGTATAATGGTTCTGTGACCGAATTCTGTTAGAGCCATATACCTCCTATCTTGTCTAGCGCACCCTGGATAATTTGAGTGCGGTTCCGTTGGGAGGATGGCAGTTAACCCTAATTGGCAAGGCAGATATCACTCCCCGAGGTTTTTTAAAAAAAAATTTTTTTTTCAACGTTTATTTATTTTTGGGACAGAGAGAGACAGAGCATGAATGGGGGAGGGGCAGAGAGAGAGGGAGACACAGAATCAGAAACAGGCTCCAGGCTCTGAGCCATCAGCCCAGAGCCCGACGCGGGGCTCGAACTCACGGACTGCGAGATCGTGACCTGGCTGAAGTCGGACGCTTAACCGACTGCGCCACCCAGGCGCCCCACTCCCTGAGGTTTAAGAGGCTGCAGAAGTAAGGGAAACTTCGCTTTAGTGTTACCATACATTTAAACCTGTTTTCTCACACAAGCCCTACTCCAGGCACAATTGAGACGATAAAAATGTTTGTGCTGATTACTTTTGCTCCATCCATTCCGTGGCCACTTCCCTGCATCCTATTTCGTGGAGGTCCTTCCTTCTGGAGGTCCAGGTCCACAGGCTATGATTTACCTGGTAGGTCTTCCCTTCTGGATGGTACCCCGTGTTCTGGATGAGAACCAAATTCCCTGCCCTATATCCTCATCTCTCAGGAGTCTTCCTGGCTTATCTCATTACCTAATTTTGACCTGGGATTGGGGCGCCTGGGTGGCGCAGTCAGTTAAGCGTCCGACTTCAGCCAGGTCACGATCTCGCAGTCCGTGAGTTCGAGCCCCGCGTCGGGCTCTGGGCTGATGGCTCAGAGCCTGGAGCCTGTTTCTGATTCTGTGTCTCCCTCTCTCTCTGCCCCTCCCCCATTCATGCTCTGTCTCTCTCTGTCCCAAAAATAAATAAACGTTGAAAAAAAAATTAAAAAAAAAAAATTTTGACCTGGGACACAGTAGAAAGCACTTAGCAGATATTAGTTCAGTAAATAGTGACAAATAGGCCTTGACGACAATATTTGCATCTTAACACCTGCCTTGAATAACCTCGGGTGAGAAATGAGACATTTTAATGAAGGCCGTCAAAGAATAGCCTTTAGGGTAAAGGATGCTGTTTGATAATCCATAGATTGTTGCAAAAACACAGCATGGCCTACATTTGAGTTTTAATTCTGACCCTAATATTTGCATCTATTTACCATGTATCTTGTGGTAGCAACTGGTAAGATTAGCCCATCCAGATTGCTATGGTAGCATAGTGTAATGAACCCAGTTTTCATCTGCAGTACATTAAAAAAAAAATTTCTTTAGGGGCGCCTGGGTGGCGCAGTCGGTTGAGCGTCCGACTTCAGCCAGGTCACGATCTCGCGGTCCGTGAGTCAGGCTCTGAGCTATCAGCACAGATCCTGATGTGGGGCTCGAACCCACCAACTGTGAGATCATGACCTGAGCTGAAGTCGACACCTAACTCACTGAGCCACCCAGGTGCCCCTGCAGTACATTTTTTTATTAGTCTGTGGGCTCAGAGGCAAAATTTGCAGCAGAGACCGTTCTGTTCATATTTCATTACAAAGAACTGTCTTAATAAAGCCACTGTCTTAATTTCATTGCTAAGAGGCTGAATGCTATTTAAGATACTGCTTTCTGAAATGAAATGTTGGACGTCCTGGGTCCAACTCTCTGGTATGTGGTTATTCCTGTTCTAGTTACTTCGAACTCTTAAGGACACAATAGAGCTTGAAATAGAATCTTCGAGCATAGTAAAGGTAAGAATTAGGCTGTGTTTCATGTCTCCCTGACTCTCCGCTGGGGCTTCATAGTTTCAGGGAGGGGGAGGAAGCTGGTTATGATGGAGAGGTGGATTCCCCAAATCCCCACTAGAAATTAGCTCCGTGGAGTAAAAAGACTTTGTGTCCCATTCTGCTCTAAGCACAGAAGTTCTTACTACTACAAGCAGCTTTCTTGCAGTCGTTAAATAAACTTAGTTTATAAAGGGGGATCAATTTCTTATGCACACAAGTCAGGGGGGATACATATCTGTTGTTGGAAATTTTTCATAAGTGAGATTTTGGGTAATAATATTAAACTATTATAAGAATATAAAATGATTAGATTTAGCCATACTTCATCTTCATGAAGTCAACAGAAGGAAAGGAGGATACTTCTGTAGCAGAAAACAGGAAAACCGAAAACTTTGGTAATCAAAACTATTGCTAATCTTTCAAGCTGCCCACCAAGAAGTGATGACCTAAATGTACGAGTGGCTCTGGTTACTTCACATAACTGTCTGTTGCTCAGAAAAATGATCCTCGAATGCCCCTTTCATGTGATTCAAGGGTATCTTTGCAATATGATAAAGGGACATTTTCTCTGGTAGTATATATAACATAGCTGTGGTGTGCTATATTACCTGGATTGTTTTCCCCTTGGTAGACAGTGCCAGCTAGGGCTGATTTGATTGTTGCTAACAGAAAAAAAAAAATAACCTAAAGTATCTTAAGATTTAAAACAATAATTTATTGGCTCCTGCAATGAGAAGTGGAGACTCTCGTAAAAATGGCTTGATCAGGAGCTCAGACAGTGTCATCAGGATCCGCTTTCTTTCAGTCTCTGGATGGACACTGCTGTCTTGAGGACTGGTTATGTCCAGTTCTAGGTTGTATAAATTTTCTGTGGCTTCTGTGACAGTATACTGCACACACACGTGGCTTAAACAACCGCATTTGTTTTCTCACTTCTGGAGGCTGGGTCGATGATATCAAGGTATGGGGAGGACCTTTCCCTCTGAAGGCTCTAGGGGAGAGTCTGCTCAATGCGTGTCTCCTAGCTTCCAGGGTCAGATTCCTGTACATTCTTTGGCGTGCAGCTGTACCACACCAGTATCTGCCTCCATTACCATGTGGTCTCCCCTCTGTCTCTGCATCTCTGAATCTCTCTCTCCTTAGAACGTCACCAGTCTTTGGATGTAGGGCCCACTCCAATCCAGGAAGATCTTACCTTCTTTTTTTAAAGTTTATTTATTTACTTTGAGAGACAGAGATACAGGCAGAGAGAGACGAGAGAGAAAAATCCCAAGCAGGCTCTGCACTGTCAGCACAGAGCCCGACGTGGGGCTCCAACTCCCAAACCGTGAGATCATGATGTGAGCCCAAGTTGGACGCTTAACCAACTGTGCCACCCAGGAGCCCCAGTAAGATCTTATCTTAATTTGATTAGATCAGCAAAGACTACTTTCAAACAAGGTCACCTTCACAGTTACTGGAGGTTAGAACTTCGGTGTTTGTTTTGAGGCCCACAGTTCAACCCATGACGTATATAACGATAGAAGGGTGGACAGCAGCTTCTTACCTATATCTTCCCAAGTTCAGAGTCAGCAGAAGAGAAAGCGTGTCTCTTATGATAAGTCAAGCAAAACCATGACCTTACTGTGCTCATGCCTGAGTAGTCACTGTGGACTGAGTGATGTGACACCCTGTTTGCCAGGCCTGAAGGCTCTGCCCAATCCTCGAGAGTAGAGAAAAGATAGATTTCCCAGAAGCAAATTTTGAAATCATGACTTAAGATACCTGATGGCCAAGCAGTTCTTATCCACCAAAGATAATATAATTAATGTGTAGAAGTAAAGTCAGATACAATATAGACACATGAGCTCTGTTTATCCATGATTTATAATTTTTTTGTTTCCATGGATTCCCATTTATTGAGATACAATTGACTTACATTAAATTGCGCCCATTTAAAGTGAAAAGTTGATAAGTTTTTACATAAGTACATACCTGTGAAACCATTATGATAGTCAAGACAATAAATATATCTACCACTCCAAAAACTTTTCCCATGTCCTTTTATAATACCCTCCCTGCTCATTTGTATGTAACTCTTAATCTTCTTTCTGTCACTATAGATTAGTTTGCATTTTCTAGAGTTTTGTATAAATGGAATCATATAGCAGGTATTCTTTTTTGTCCTAGGGTTTTATGCAACATGATCACTTTGTGATCCGTCTGAGTCATTGTGTGTATTCAAGAACCCTTTCCTCTTTATTGCCCAATAGTACTCGTCGAGTGGATGTGCCACAGATTTATTTTGTGCAAAGGCATTGGGTTGTTTTCAGTTTTTGACTACTATAAAGAAACTTCTCAATTAGGAAACCCTTATTTAAAATTGGAATTTCTTTTATTTAATGGTGGGTGAATTATGTATGAATATGATGTTCACTGCAATTGCAAAAATGGTCATAATTTTTTTTCTTTTTCTTTTTCAGATACTGAGGAGAGCAGATAAAAATGGTAAGACCAAAAATCTGCAGTTTCTATTTATTAATCTCTTGCCTTTTAGATCACCTTATAAAGAATAATATGGAAAAGAGAGGAGAACCCAAGAAAATGGTACCTAAAACGTCAGCCTCTTGTACTAAGAATTTTAGGCAAGTTTATGGCTCCAGATATTCATGGGAAGCTGAAAGAGATACGTACATTTGACAGGAAGATGGAATTTATGCCTTGAAGTGAGGAGCTGTCATAGCTCTGGCTTTTCCCTTTTATGCTTTAATTTTAAAGTAATAACAGCTTCTAATCATTGCGTGTCTACTATGTGCCAGGCCTTGGGCCAAGTGCTTTGAGTTATTTCTTAGAGTTAACAAGATATAGATCTGAGACTTGAACTTGGGTCTGTGTGGCACCGAAATCTTGGCTGTCCACACCAAACTTCATAGTGGCCTTGGGGGCTGCTGTTGTGCTCTAAGCTAGTTACCTACAAGCCTGCATTGCCAGACTGACCTCCACTCCATGGCTCTTGGCCATAGCTCTTGCATTTGAATTATATGCACTAGAAGTAATAATCTATAGGGACAGAGCAGTAGGTTGAAACTAGTATAAAGAGATTGTTCTGTCAGAGGAACTACGATTTAAATGATGCTTGCACAAAGTCCGATTATAAGCTGTCATAAGCAATATCCTTTGACTCATCCCACTGCAAATTTTGTTCCATGGAATGCCAAATTAGAGCTTATTGAGTTTATTTTGCTGCTGTAATACAAGTACAGTATAGTACAAGTATAGTATAGAGCTATATTCTTGACAAGACTTTTGTGACAAATTTAGGATACAAAAAGTCCTTTCCTTTTCTTGAAATCCGATTTCTTATCTGTGGGGAAGGATTACAGGCAGAGTCCAGGTCTGACACTTTAAAAACATCTGTTGTGGTCTAGTTAGCCCTTAAGCAGCCAGATCAAGAAAAGCTTGATTGCACTGGATAGCTTTTCACACAACAGAAAAGATATTAACCCCAGGAGTTGCTGTCATACGAGGGTCTGTTCCCCAACCCGGATATTTCATTGGGCCTGTCCATTAGAATGTTTTCTCAAATTAGGGTGCACTGGTTAATATATTATCAATTCAGAGGGGCTTTTTTTCCACCTGAATCACTTGATTGATTTTTAAGACGGATGTAACGATGCTGTTATCTTGTCTTCTCATCCCACTTGTTGGCCTTATGCCTGACGTCCAAACCCAGTGATGCCTGAATTACGACTGCATAGTCCCTATGGCTCCACGCTAGTTGCCTCATATATTAGCAGCCATTTCTAGTTCAGATATGCCTTTTCTCTCTCTCTACCCAGGCTCCTAGTTTTCTCAGGCTACACCTTCCTTTCCTTGGACCCCCGGCTCTCATGGAGGGTCCTTATTACCTTTGTATATACCACTCTTCTCTCCATTACAACTCACCTCTTTTGGTGGCTTGCTGTCATAATCTGTAGTCATAATAAAAAGCACCTGAAAAACCAGTTCACGATTTGCTGTAGTTTATGATAACCTCCTATGTTCTGCTATGCAGAATGGTCACTCGGTCAAAATAGGATAGATCAAGAGAGATGGGGGTGCTTTGATCTAAAAGCCCAGTGTGGTCCTGTTCGGTCCCCTGTTTTTTTCATCTGCCTCCTTGCTCCCTCTCCTAATGTGCTCTCGAAGCCGCCTGCCCTTCCGCTCTTATTCCCACATATTCACCACGCGTCCTCTTCTGTAGCCCTCCCAAGCACCAGGGATTCTCTGAGCATCGCTCCATCTGTCACCCTTCTGTGGTGGCGTCCTTGCTTTGACTTCCACCTGTTCTGCCCTTTCCGTGCTGAGCCAGCTTGCACACTCTCCTGTATTGATGTCATTCCTGCTCAGAAGGCACCTTATCTGAAAAGCCTTCCCCAGCTCCCCCTTGCAGGCCCCCAATCTCTCTCTCTGTGCTCTGCACACTTTGGCTTGTATTGCTTATTCCCTTTTGTGAGGACTACAGTTGTTTGCTGGCGATTCTACTTCTCTAAGCCAAACTTGCCTCTCTTGGACAAGGAACTTGGCTTAGGTGTAGATACCACGCCCAGCCAGTCCTGGGGACTCCGTGGATGTTCATTTAACAAATTAACGACGATTAATGACATTTTTCTCCATTACCCATCTCCTGCCTCTCTGTCTACTCTTTCCCCTGCCTTTCATCCTGCTTTGCTCTTCTCCCTAATTCTCAGTGTAAAGTGAGGGGAAACAGAGACAGGACAGTCTGGGTTTAAGTCACAGCTCTGGCACCTAGTAGCATTATGGCTTTGGGTAAGCAACAAACTCTTCACCCTCTGCTTTCTCATCTACAGAATAGAGATAATAGCACCTACCTATGTCATGGGGTTATTATGAATAGTAAGTGACACACATATGTAAGGTCCCCAGGGAAGTGCATGGTACATAGTAATAACTTATACCTGCTCATTTTGCCACTATTTTTATGATCAATGTGATCAGTATCACTATTTAAAGCTTGAGCTATTTTGAGGTTGTGATGCCTTAGCTATTGGAGACACTTGGTGACATTCCAGTCATTTCTATTTCAGTGGAGTTTAGTGAGAAAAAAAAAGAGAGACTATTTACCATATATTCAGAATTGGAAAAGGGAAAAAGAATTGTGGATAATCTAATGTAAATGAGAAGATACCAACATTAAAAAACCATCTTTCTGAACCATGTGTTCATCCCATTCTGTATTTGCAAATAAACAGCTGCTACATGTACGTGATCTCTGGGTAACAGACCCTCATATGACAGAATCCCTTATGGACTGCATAATTGGCAATGGAATAACAAAGGGGGTAAGAGGTGTTATTCAGTATCAGCTTAATATGATACTTAGCCTACAAGATTTAGCTTTTGGGATCTATCTGACATGAGAGAAGCTGCTGGAGAAACTGGGAAAAAATACATGATAGCAATTAGCTATAATAATGGTGTCTCAGAGAGATTTGTTTGGTTTTGGTTATTGTTTTAAAATCATAGGCTAGGATCCTAGACATAAAGACAGACCTCAAAATAGGATAGGAGAGATATGAGTGCTTTGATCTAAAGAGCCCAGAATGAAATCTAGAAATGCAAAGCTCCTGAGAAGGCTTACTTATATGCAGGTAGAATGAAAATGGAAATGATTCATGGGTATTTGCAAAGTTCGCAAAAAAAAAAAAAAAAAAAAATTAACCTTAGAAAAAGGCAAAATGGAAAGGCTCATAGTAATTAACACCACAGATTCTATTTCACATAGCACCAGGCCCACCGCGGGGAGTAAAATGCCTGCCACAACATAGGTGCTCAGTCAGTACTTGCAAATCTATTTGCAAGAGGTGCATATCCAACAATATGATACTGAAAACTGAACAAGAAACACAACCTTATAGATCAGTCCATCAAACTAAGCGTTGTTGTTACTTATCTGTTGTTTATTAATTAATATTATTAGCTAAAATTCGTTGAGGACATGTTTTAGACTATGTCCGATTACAGGTGCTTTATATACATTGTCTTCAGTTGTTGTGAAGTCTATAGAATAAATAGTTTAGAGCAGTGGTAAGAACACTGGCATTGGTTTAATGACTTAGAGCAAATCATTCAATTTCCCCTTGCCTCCGTTTCCTCAGCTGTGAAGGGGGGATAATATTGTTTCTCTCAGAAAGCTGTCTTGAATAGTAAATGAAATTTTGCCTGTACATAGTAATTACAAAGATATCAATCCATCAAGAAGCTATAACATTTTAGAATATTTATGCACCCAATATAGAAGCAACTAAGTATATAAGGCAAATTTCAGCAGACCTAAAGGGAGCAATGGACAGCAATAGAATCATACTAGTGAACATTAATATACCACTTGCATCAATGATGTTGATGATTTTCTGAGACGATCAATAAGAAAACATTCTGCTTTAAACAACAGACCAGATGGATTTAATAGATGTATACATAGCATTCATTCCGAAAGCAGCAGCAGAATACACATTTTTCTTGAGTGCACATGGAACATCCTCTAGGATAGATTATATACATGTTAAGTCATGAAACAAGTCTAAATAAACTTAAGAAGATTGAAATCATATCAAGCATCTTATATGACTACAGTGATGTGAAACTAGAAATCAATTATCAGAATAAAACTGGAAAATCACAAATATATGGAGATTAAACAACACACTACTGAACAACCAATGGATCAACAAAGAAATCAAAGGAGAAACTTAGAAACTACCTTGAGACAAATGAAAATGGGAATACAACATAACAAAATCTATGGGATGCAGCAAAAGTAGTTCTAAGAGGGAAGTTTATAGCGATATAAACTTACCTCTGAAAACAGGAAAAATTCTCAATCTGACTTTACACCTAAAGGAACTAGAAAAAGAATAAATAAAGCCCCAAGTTTAGTAGAAGGATGGGGCTAATAAGTATCAGAGTTGGAATAAATGAAATAAAGACAAAAAAGACAACAGAAAAGATTGATTAAACTAGGAACAGATTTTTTGAAAAGATAAAAAGACCTTTAGCTAGACTCAGTAAGGACAAGAGGGCGCTCAAATAAATAAAATCAGCATTGAAGAAAGAGAAGTGGCAACTGATACCAAAGAAATACAAAGGATCCTAAGAGACTATATGAACAATTATATACCAACAGATTGGACAACCTAGAAGAAATGGATAAATTCCTAGAAACATACAATCTTCCAAGACTAAATCATGAATAAAAGAAAAGTCTGAATAGACTGATTACGAGAAAGGAGATTAAATCAATAAAAAAAAACAAAACAAAAAAACCTACCAACAAATGAAAGTCCAGAACCAGGTGGCTTTACTTGTGAATTCTACCCAACATTCAGATAAGATTTAATATCTGTTCCTCTCAAACTCTTCCAAAAACGTTGAAGAGGCAGGATTGCATCCAATCTTATTTGATGATGTCAGCATTAATTACCCTGATACCAAAGCCAGACAAAGAT